AACTTAAAAGAATGAAAATTGAACAACTTATTTTCAAATAAATTAAACAAAAACGAAAAAAGAAAAATAACCAATAAAAAGAAAGAGACATTTCCTTATCCTACAAATTTCGAATTTTTATCTTGAATGATTTATAACCATTAACGTTAATTCCTTGGAACGTTTCTTTCCGTAATTTACTTTGATCACTGATAATCTTCCGTTCATTCCAACGCGGTAATTGAACGAAATATTCTGTCAAACGATCGCGCAAGTAATGGGGGGTAATTTTAAATAACGTATAATAAAAAAAATATCTCCATGGTTCGCATCTGAAAAAATAAAAGAATAATATAATTCGTTAATTCAAATCGACGATTTTAAAGGAAAAAAAAAAAAAAAAAAGAAAAGAACAAAGAAAGATGTAACTAAAGATATCTAATTGTAAGTGTAAAAGATTAAGATCGTCAATCACAAAGTGAAAAAATTTTTTTATCTTTATCGTCTGTTAAAAAGATGTCTGAAGATTCCATGAACTAGATACTTTGTAATTAACTTACGATCTTTCGATTATTCTTTCTATAATTCTAATATCTAAACAATACTAATCATGAAGTAGAGTAGTCTATTATCAAAAAATAATTCTAGCGGATCAAAGGTCTTTTTTTAAATAAATATCGCTAAATTGCGATCGCCTACAAAAAATGATTAGAAAAACAAGATTTTTATCCTTCAAGAAGATGAAGAAGAAGAGAAAGAAGAAAACGATGACGATCTGACTCACTTATAAATGGTTGAAGGAAAACGATCTAATAAAGCTCCGGTAAATTGTTCATAAATCTGTAGATTCTTTATCTTTTTCGGTCCATCCTTGACTGACAACGGTTCAAAATATTTCGCGTATCTGTTGAAATAATCGCCGTAAAAATCAGCAGCTTCTATCGACATAGTTTCTTTCATTGCATCGAAATTATTCGATTGTTCGGATAAAATATTACTCTCTTGCGTGAACGATCCTAAAAAAATAAAAAAGATAATAAATATATACAAATTGCACAGCAACAATAAAATCAACCTGGAAACTATTTTTATGCGATTGTAATACAAAAAAAATAAATTTGCTATATCTTTCTGTTAATAAAAAATATAATAACAAACCAGGGACAAAAATGACAATATCGATGCCATACTTTTTGAGTTCAACCCTAATAGATGTTGCCCAAGCATTAATACCAGCCTTTGTTGCACTGTAAATTGCTACTCCTGGCAAAGGTTCGTAACCACAATGGCTCGAAATAATGATAATCCTACTTAAATCTTTTCTTATTAATGGCATACATTTATGCGTGATATTCATTGTCCCAATAAGATTCACCTCTAATTGTTGTCGCAACTGATTCTTAGTTTGCCATTCAAATTCACCGAACACCATAACACCTGCATTATTTACCAGTGCTTTTAAAGCTACAACGAGAAAATAAACTCATATTTATTTAATTTTTTTCTACATAAACTTAATAAATAAAATAAAATACGTTAAACACATTCGTTAACAAGCGTGTCATGATTGGGTATTTTAATTCAATGTATTATCAAATGAAAATTAAAGAAAAATTATTTTATCGTGTACTTGTGGTACGACCCAAATAATTTTAACGTTAAATAAATAATGAAATTAATTGTTTCCAATGTTTTGTACTTAATCCACTATCACAATGGACTTTTGAGATAATGATTTTTTTTTTCAAAGCAAATTATGTTAACGAACTCGTGTTTAAATGGAAATAAAATTCAAGAAAGAATAAAAATGAAATTTACTTAAATCCTTTTGGTAGATATAGGTGTTTAGGAAATTATAAAAATGTATAATACTGCTTTCGTCGGTAATATCGAGAGGAA